CTGCGGCATTTGTTGGAGCAGTCCCTCTCGTCTTTTGCGAAATTGTAGCATAGTTTATGGATGCATTAATGCTAAAAAACTGGAAAATAAATATTGTCCCAAATTTCGCGAAAGCTAGCGTATTTAAATAATTAAGAGGAAAAATTGTTTGTGAAGTCAGGAAAAGCCAGGGAGTTTGACAATTTTGGAGTTAGGATCAAGCCTGGTTTGAAGGCGAAGAAATTATGGCAACCCTGGTCCGTCTCTTTATTTCGGCGAAACTTGGCATCGGTGCGGAGGCAGTCGGGATGCGATGCTGAGTTGGCGGTGGTGCGGTGGACAGTTGTTAATGGTCAGCAATTAGTGGCGTTATTCGGTATGCCTTTCATGGCCGCGCTGGAGACTGTTAAATCAGGGCGGCGATTGCGAAAAAAGTGAAAATATGAGATGCGTCGCGGCCGCGGCCGAGGGGGGCAAAAGGGGGGCTGGAGGGGGACCGGCAGCCAAGCACGGGTGTCTGCCGGGCGGAGCCTAAACCAGTTCTTAATCATCGAATGTGTGCCTCGCCGTTGTCATACTTTCACGAAAAAGCTTCGTATTATTGTGAGTACCTGTAAAGAAATACTGTTTCCCGACTCTTCCGCCCAGTGGCGAGGCGCAAATGATCGACTATCGATATTTCCCCATTCGGAGCAATGGCACGGAATCGATTATTAAGGTGTTCGTTGTGAACATCCTGTTTATCGATCATTTTCCACTAGTTTAAATGGCAGATTAATCGATTTATCGCAGAGCATGCCACGCTTCTGGTCGACGGTTTTTTTCCGGGTAGATCCTGCAACGAAGCCCGGCATGGCTGCCGATTTGACATTTCGTTCATTGAATAATACTCGAGCGTTTAGTTAGAGAACTGTGAGTTAGGCTTGATTGCTTTTTTTTTACAATGTGCATGCAGTGGGAGTGGCTGATTCTCAGTGGCGTAACGGGCGCCCCCGCAGACCCTGCTATGCAGGGGGGCCCAGGCGCCAAGGGGGCCCTCGGCCGCCGGATTTTTTTTTTCTCTCTCTCTTTGATGCTTAACTTTGGTTTCAAACTTCGGGCCTTTACTTACCGAGATGGCAAGATGGGGCTTCTTCCTTTGATTTTTATTGTTAGCTCGGGGTTTTTCATACTTCTTTCGGACTGTTTCGAACTTCTTGTTTGCTGGAGGGCCCTTGCCTTCCAATGTCCATTCAGTGATTACTATAATTTTTTTTTCTTTTTTTGTCACTTTTCGTATTTCGGGCTTTGGGAGATCCAATAATCTAAAGGGCCCCCAAGGCTCTTGGGGGCCCTTTGATCTTTGGGCCTGGGCCCCTCTGTAGATCATTGGGCCTGGGCTGGGCCCCGCCACCCTTTAGATCCTTGATCCTTTAGGAGTCCCATATAATCGGGTACGGGATCTGAGACGGCAAGGGGTGAGGCATTTCAAGTCCAAATCCATGATTTTTTTTTTTTTTTTTTTTTTTCTACTTCAAATAGCCCTCGAGGGCTAATCCCACGCTTGAAGAACGTGGCCCACGATTTGAGAAGCCTCGGGCCAAAAAATGGGAAGGGGTGGGAGGGGGGGATAATTCTGGAATTTTATCGACATGGGGGGGGGGGGCTAGAAAAAATTTTGCGGGGGGGCCCGGCGGAAGTCCGTTACGCCACTGCTGATTCTCCGTGCCACGTGATGAAGGATCCTCCAGATGTGAAAAGCTTAGAAAACTGAGAATAATTTAAACATATCTACTCTTCTTTTAGTTCCTTAAAATATATGTGGATAACTCGGAAATTCCTCCTTTTATTATTGTTTTTTACATTGATGTAATAAAATAAATGAAACACGCCAAAGAGAAAGAACAAAAAATCCGCAGCGATTTTCAAGGTAATATCCGGAACATAATTTTTGAAAGGTGATGTTTTTGCGATAACCATTTTTGACATATGCAGTCAAGCATTTCCGATCATCATTTCTGGTACAGGAAATATTACCGAGCGTTGCAAAAGCGTTTGTAAAATACAATTCCTTTTTCTTTTCTTCTTTTTCTTGGTCGCGCCAGGTGGTTTTCAAATTTCTAATGCAACTGGAAAATCTGGTTCGAACAATTTACAGAAAAGTTCCATATTTTTTAGATTTTATTTAACACCTGGGGTTATCGCGCAAGCTTGTGACGTTTGGGCAGGTATGTAGGACAACCGAACTCCAATAACACTTTCTAACTTCAGTTTAATAATGTATTGATGTAATTGAATTATATTAAAGCAAATTAGGCTTGAAGATATTCTTGGAAGCATCCTTGTCTTGAGGTATTCTTAAAAGTTTTGTAAGTTCACAATGTGTCTTATGCTTGAGCATAATTTAAGGACTTTTAAAGTCAATAAAGTTTCAAGAAGCGTTCCAAACTTTGACTTGATATCTCATCTGCCATATCGAATCTCTAATTATAATTATTCTATTTTTTTTGGCGCGTATACGTAGTATACCGCCTTTGCGATCGTTTCGACCCCCCCCCCCCCACAATAACCGAGTCCCCTAGTTCCTTACCGAAAAGTGACTACCGCGAACTTCTGAGATTTTCCAAAGCGTGTAAAAAGTTTACTAATCCGTCAATAATAATGATTAAAATTTGTTTCTCATTCTGGGGCTCGCTAGTTTATGTGTAATGAATACCAAGAGTCTACGTTTCTTGGTTTTTTTTAAAAAAACCTTAGAATGGGGCGCGCTGATTTAAAATATGCATATATAAGCGGAAGCAAGCGAACTGATTCGAGGATGGCTGACCAGTTCGGCACTCCTTGAATGAGAATTTCACTCACTCCGTTTTGTTCACAACGTTGCTTTGACATATCTCCACAACACTGTTATCCTTTTCAAAAGTTGGTACTCCTTGCTCTGATAGCCGGGGCCACCAGGATAGTGGTAAGTGCAATCTGTGATGAGCCTCGAGACTCATTAGACCATTTGCTAAACGTGGCTCATACAGGAGTCCACTAAGCCCTCTCGTCCCCACGCTCCTGATCACTGCGTCGGCGTCACGAAGAACAATGGGCCTTGGGTCCCAACGCGGCCGATACCCGTACCCCAATTACTCACGCTTCATTAACCATTTCACCGTCACGCTAGGATTCATCCAATTTTCAAAAAAAATTGTTTCGCATGTATTTAGCAATTTTTTCCTTACTCTCCGTTAAAACACAAATAAAAAGAGACCTCATTCATAAAAATCGGCCGAATAGAAGAGAAGTTACAGTAATCGAAATCCGAAGAAATCAACAAAACCTCGACTCCTCGATACGAAAAATAAAATGAAGGGGAAAAAAAGAAAGTATAAATTACAATTAAATATAATTGACCTCAAAATTTGACAAACAATTCATTTATATACCTAACGCTGAAAAAACTGGGAGAAATTACAAAAAATTTGCCTCTTGCAAGGGGCTTCTTTGTAAGAATTTTGACCTGAAGACAACGGTCGAATAACAGCAGTACTCCATACAATACACGGTGTGCCTGAACGAGTTAAACATTTTTCATACGTCCAAATCGAAAAATCTTTATATTTTTAACTACAATGTTTCTTGAATCGTTTAAGCAAAAAAAAAAAAAAAAAAAATTCCGTCGAGATTCTGGAACGCAAAGGCGCTTTAAAAGTATTCTGGGGCTATAATAGCTAAATCACCGGTAGTAAATTCGTTATATTATTAAAAAGAAATTGACTCCATAGTTTAATTCCTTAGTTTCTTGAATACGATTATTTTAAGCACTTAAACATTTATACCACCAATTTTAGCCATGGGGTGATTTCCTGAGAGCCGATAATATCACGAATTTCTCATAGAACCCCTCAACAGTGGCTTGCTTTTTTGGCAGCCGATTCGGCCATCGAACCGGAGTTTAAATGGAAGCTGATAATAACCCAAAGCTCTGAGAAAAATTTTGAGATGAGTATAAGAACGGTTTGTTGTAAGTAGCGAGGAGAGGCGGGCAAAGCGGCTAAAATCCTATCTAATTTTTACAGTTTTTCTGTTGAATTAATGTTGCCGCGGGCTTCTGACTGTCCACACATAGTTCTGTTCAGCATATCGATACATAAGTATTTACATTTTACATACGTAGAATCTAATTTTCACGTCGGGGAGTTGACATATTTTGATTTTTTCGATTTTATACGGAAAATTGATGGTTTTTCGGGATTGAAATTATTATTGTTTCATGAAAAATAAATGCACCCAAAATGACTATAGCATATTGATTCTTACACATTTGCACTCACAAAATTGGTTGGTAAATTCAACGAGTGGGTGCATCGACCTGGTATATCAAGTTTCTGCAATTTTTTACGGCAAATCAGTAGATTTTCGGGATGTAGATTGCTTACTTTCAATTCATGAATGAATAAAGCAACGACATGGTTGAACTTCTTTGCATGGAAAGACGTTTAAAATAACAAAATCAAGACGTATTTAATGCAATTGCATTTATATCGAGTCAATTTCTTTTCAATAATATAACGGGATTTTTACTACCGGTGATTTGGGTATTTTAGCCCCAAAATACCTTTAAATCGACTTTATCTTCTAGGAGTTCGACAGAATTTTTCCTTTCTTCGCTTAAATTATTCCGTAGCACTTTTCTTCAAGAATCTGATAAGATTTTGCTTGAGGCAGATCAAAAAACTTAAATTCGATCGAATAGCTTTCTACTTTCACAATACACGGTCTCGTCAAGGTGCGTCTTTGACCTCGCAGTGTTGGATCGTGAATTCTCTTTTTATGCTGTTTGCCTATTTTGAAATCTCTGTAAATGAAAACTAAAGGGGTTGATATGTGCGAGTTAATGACGCGCCTTATCAACACATTGTGTTGGAGTTCACTGCTTGTTTTTCAATCACCCCATTTTTGTGGGACAGTAGCGATCAACCAGTTCACATCCTGTTTTCTCACATGAAGCATTTTTCCAAAATAATCCTAATATTTTGTTCGTTTGTTTTTTTCAGATTGGAGAGACTTTTCCGACACTCAAGGTAAGGCATGCCTTCATCCCTCTGTATATTTGTTTGAACTCAATAGAACTGTAGGTCTTTGAACGTACAAAAGAGTAAACGATTCAGTGGTGGTCAGTCTTTCCATAATCCAATTTTATAGACATTTAAGCCCATTTTTTTTTCAATTCGTCAGCAGGCAGGTTGAGATTTGCGAGGACTGCCGAAAGCACGTGTTTGCGTGGGACACCGAATTATAAGAGATCCAAATTCCTACATAATTATTTTCCCCCTCTCTGCTGTTCAAATGTTTTGAGGATTTCGTTTTTGTTTCAATGTCGTAGAGAATTATGTGCTTAACACATCATCCGTGTACGAAGCTTCACCAAAATTCAATTTCGCGATTAAAATCGTTTTTGTCGCCATGTTTTCCACCGAGAAGGATATCCTTCCCTCTCCTCTCAAGATCATACCCATTCCCCATCGAAGAGACTGATCAACAGGCTACTTATGTTCTGATAAAAAGCTCATATTCGTAAGAAGCTAATACTTTTTTTTTGACAATATCAGAAGAAGAATTTTATTTCTAATCATCCATAAAAAGTTCGGATGGTCACAGGCAGTGTTTCGTAGCCTCATCTTTAATCTTATTTTGAATTACACAGCAGTTTTGCTAGACGTTGAAATACTTTTATCAAAGAATAAGATCAGGAGATCTAATAGGGGAACCAATTTGAAAGCTTTCAAGAGAGAATTGTATACATATGATGAATAAAGATTTTCAGACTGTGCTGCTGATGCAATAGTATTTGAATTTATTCAAATCAGAAAAGTAAACTATCACTGAATGAAGATAGAATTTATGATAAACAAGTATAACGTTTTCCTCCAACTATATTCAAACCGGAAAAATATTAAGGAGTTTTTACAATGTGAAGAAATCTCACCACCGAGTGTCACTCTTGCCTTTAGTGTAATTGGTGTAAATCCATCCGATCACCTAAATAAAGCTCCAAAACAGATCGCAAAGTGGATTTATAAGATCAAGTTGTCTGAAACATAAGTCTCTCCAAGAGTAGTCGAGCACCAAAGCGCGTGAACGTGTTCAACTATCTTTGTAAAAGTCAACCAAATACCGGCCCTGTTAAAATTGGCAGTAGAATCTGTGTTCCAAAATACCATAGACCTACAGCCGGCTGTAAGATTTCCAATAGCTTCTACAGCCGGCTACACAATTTCTTATAGCTTTTTATAGCCGATGGCGACTAAGCAAGAGCCAGGCGATAAAGTATATGCTAAACGTCATTAATTACAGATGCTAGGACTTAGTGAGTTTTTGGACCACTGCTCTCTTTTTGGGCCGTAGTATCTTGATTTATTTTGCGAGGAAAGCTCCGTACGTTTGATGGATGCCTGCCATTCCTAATATATTAGAGCGCCTTCAGTTTCGTATGATACTGTGCAATACCTCTGGTGTGAAATAGTTGCTTCAAGCGCCGTGGCACGCTGCGGTGCGGCAGGCGGGCAGCCAGCGCGAAACGCGCATTGGCGCCTACAAACCTAACAGGGATACTACACGTGTTGCGCAATGCGTGAAGTATCCCTGTTAGGTTTGTAGGCGCCAGTGCGTCGCCGCTTCGCTTTGTGTTAGGCTCAGCGTTATTCAACTCATGATTTTGAAATGTTTGCACATCCCATATGGATTATTCTCGTTTTAATTGATGAAAAAAATATGTATTAAAGAAAAATATAACGTGTGTTTTTTGAATACGAAGGTGATTCCGTATCAAACTTAATGATTTCCAAAGCACACGAATTTCTACACAATTTCTTATAGCCTCTCCTAATCGATGGCGAAAAAGCAACAGCCAGGCGATAAAATTAAATCCCGGCTATAGGAACCGTAGCCCGGCTGCACAATTTTTTATCGCTTCGTTTAGCCCGGCCGTATGATTTTCTCCGCACTCTACAGCCAGCTATATGATTTTCTGTAGCCTTCATTAGCCGGCTATAAGAATTCCTATGGTATTTTGAAACGCAGCTCTTATCGTCATTTTTTACCAGGGGGTGCCACTAGTGAACAGTTGGACTTCATTTTGCAATTAGGAACTATAACTTTTGACTCATCCATGTGAACACTAATGTGCATGGGGGAAACTAATGTTGGTACTTGCGTTGTGTCTAAAGTGAGCCTTAAATTGTAGTCCTTAATTGTAAAATGTAGTCCAGTTCATGGATTTCGGATTTTCGGAACCTTTGCTCCGTGCTGTTGGTCAACCTCAAAATGAAGTTCCTTTCCACCTGCTGATTCCGCCCGTTGATAAGCAACTCGTTGAGCTTAAAATCAATTGGACTACATTTTGCAATTTCGAACTACAACTTCTAGCTCAGTTTAAAAACAACATATGTACCATCAGTTTCCCTATACCCACAAGTATTTTTACGGATGAGCCAGAAATTTCGGTTCCGGATTGCAAAATGACGTCCAATTAGAAGCCATCTATGATGACTTGTGAATGTCGAAGTAAATTTTTTGCCAGTTGAGTTTTTAAAATTTAGTGTAGGATTGCTAAATCGTCTTCTCAACTCTTTGATAATCAGACGAATCTGAGTGGTGACTTACGAAAGTACCCTGAAAAGTCGTGGGCTATGTAGATATACCGTCCGTTCCAGGCTCAGAGGTCGAACGTTCCAGGTGCTTGAGCTGTAGCTCCGACTGCACCGGGCACTACTCCCGGAACTTTCGGCCCATGAACCCGTAACGCGGACGGTTGAGTCCACTTCAAATATTCACGCACTTTTAGACTGCGACGGTAGATCCGCCATCTTGATTCTTCCATTTACTTAACACGTAAAGGTGACGTCAGACAATCTTCTGTCGCAGTCTAGAAATGCAATAAACTTATTTGATGTGAACTGTATACCAAGCACGAATTCAGCCGGAGTTTTCTTCTTTTTAGTATAACTTTTACCCTACAGCGGGTTGATCATTGAACTTGATAGACAAAGCTATCGACAAAGAAGACATAGGGAGTATGGAGCGATCTTATGCGATGCCAAAAGATGATGGACTAAAAATTGGGTCTCTCGTTGGTCGTCGTTTGCCAGTCTATCACCTACCTCCTTTGTCTATTGCAACCACCCGTTTCCACCAATCGGATCCCTCTATATCCCTTTTGTCCTCTTTCTCTATAGATTCGTCCGTGAATTTCAATAATCGGCCGCAGGGAAGATAGCAGTTTGGGGTCTCTGAAACATGGATTGCATTTTGCAAAAAGGAACCACTAGCATTGCAATGTTGCTAAGATTGTGCAACTTCTTTTGTCTTGGAGGAAAACCCGATTATCCATAAATAGTTTTTATTTTACTCGTTAAAAACTGTAAATTTAAGACAAAAATTACCATCTAAATCTCATAATTTTTCACGATTTCCGCAATTTTATTGCAAAAGATGAAGTTGCTTAATCTCAGCATCATTGCAATGCTAGTGGTTCCTTTTTGCAAAATGCAATCCATATGTCGTCTCTGATTCCATCAGAGCGCACCTTCCGGAGAAGGAACGTAGAGCCGACTCGACCTGGCAACGCCGGGAAATAACCTAGATGATGGAGGAAGAAAGGGAGCATGGTTGGCAGCGCGATGCAAGCAGTGAAACTTATGATGGGCCGGAGCCACCAACTCGGACGTCACGCCACGGCGCGGCGCGACTCGACGCGACGCCCGCCGCGGTTATCACGTCCATCGCCGCACTGGACCGACCAGCACCGGACGAGGGATCGTCCATCGACGCCGCTTCCTCGAAAAAGGCACCTCCCCCCCTTTGTCGAGACGTAGAGACCTCGCAGGGTCTCTAAAATATGTATAGTCTCAGGAGAAAACTATCCGCACATGAATGTTGTGCGCTACCCAGTTCTGAGTACAGCACCTGTGAAGTATAAGGAGAGTAGGGACTCGTCGAAACATGGAGTTTGTAGGGTCTAAAGGGACAGCCAACCTTCCTATACACTAAGAGCTCTGTGACCTGTTCAAACCTAACCTCCAAAATTACCAACACGTTCATTCACTCTAGAGTACCTTTATAGACAGAGTATGGCCATTCGTATCTTTTTACTACAGGAAAACTGTGCCGCTTTTTGATTGGTCAACGAGTTTTTAGGCTTCATTATGCTCTTACGGCCGTAAACAAACAAACAAGATGGCGACTCACCGCAACATTGATAAGAAGCTCAAATTTGACAAAAATTTCAATACTACGGCAGTAACAATGGGCCTGTTGCAAACTTTTGCTAGAGCAAAAATAAGAGTTGTCTCTTGTAGATAATGCCTCAAAAATCACGATGAGCGCATCGGCAAAGTCTGAAATGCACTCATAACTTCACAATCTGCGTAAGAAATTTGCGTTTTTTTAAGCTTCCCGCTTCAAAAACGATACTACGGCACAGGTGAACATTTTGTTAGAGGAGTCGCTCCATCGTCGGCGATATTCATCATGGCCGACGTTTGAGCGCAGTTCCGCGCGTAATTCGAGGAGAGTTCAAGGTCAATCAATTCGGGCGTGGAAAATATGAACGTTAACACACCGATTGTTGTCTGGTCTAATCCAGCTCAGGTGTTATCTCGTCCCATCAAACGTGTTTCGGCGGATTGGCGTCGGCCATGATGATTATTGCCGACGATGGAACGACTCCTCTTACAAAATGTTCACCTGTGCCGTAGTATCGTTTTTGAAGCGGGAAGCTCAAAAAACCGCAAATTTCTCACGCAAACTGTGAAGTTATGAGTGCATTTCAGACTTTGCCGATGCGCTCATCGTGATTTTTGAGGCATTATCTATGAGAAACAACTCTTATTTTTGCTCTAGCAAAAGTTTGCAACGGGCCCATTTAAACTAGTATATCTGCGAATAACAAGTGAAAACACTGTAAAATCGCCTTTCGCCTTCTTCATACGAGGATGTAAGATGTGCAGAACCTCAAACTTGCTCGCTCATAACAGCCATCTTGCTTGTTTATTTACGGCTTTAAGAACATCGTGTCAGCCTA